ATTAGTTTGGACCAAAGGTCAGTCTGGAGAGCCAAGAAATTCCCTGAGGACAGAATAGTATCAGGTACCGGTTCTTCTTTGGAGTCTTCGAACATGCGTGATAGCGCATCGGGTTTTGTATTTTTGGACCCAGGTCTGTAAGTGATATGGAATATGAAGCTGGAGAAAAACAGTGCCCATCTTGCCTGCCGTGGACGTAACCGTTTGGCAGTCCTCAGGTACTCGAGATTTTTATGGTCAGTGAAGATCAAGATGGGGTGTGAGGCCCCTTCCAGCAAGTACCTCCATTCTTCCAGTGCAGTTTTGATGGCTAACAACTCCCGATCGCCAATATCGTAGTTCTTCTCGGCTGGGGTGAGCTTCCTCGAGAAGAACGCTATGGGGTGGAGTAATTCTTTGGTGCCTTTTCTCTGGGACAGGATGGAACCCACCGCATTCTCAGATGCATCTACCTCCAGTACGTAGGGCAGGGAAGCGTCTGGATGGCCCAAAATGGGTGCCGTGGTAAATAGTTTTTTCAAATCCTCAAAGGCTTCCTAAGCCTCCGGCGTCCATCTGAAGTGGGTTCCAAGTTTGGTTAGCTGAGTTATGGGGGAGACCAGACCCGAGAAGTTCCTAATGAATTTCCGATAAAAATTTGCAAAGCCGATAAAGCGCTGGATGCCCTTTTTGTCTGTGGGCACAGGCCAATCCAAAATTGCAGAGACCTTCTGAGGGTCCATTGCGACTCCCGTGGTGGAGATAATCAAACCAAGAAACGCAATGCTGGACTGCTCGAAACTGCACTTATCTGCTTTGGCGTATAACCCATGCTGGCGCAACCGACCCAATACCTTTGCCACATGTATTCTGTGATCCTTCAGAGAGGATGAGAAGATCACTATATTGTAAACAATTACAAAAAAACGTCAAGGTAATCCCGGAAAATGTCGTTTACAAAATGTTGGAATGTGGATGGGGCATTGCACAGTCCAAATGGCATTACCAGATATTCGAAATGCCCAAACCGGGTACGAAATGTTGTCTTCCACTCATCCCGCTCCCTTATGCAAACCAAATTGTAGGCCCCCCTGAGATCAAGTTTAGTAAATATTGCCGCAGCCTTCAGGCTCTGAAATAATTCAGGTACCAATGGCAGTGGGTAACGATTTTTAATCGTGACTCTGTTCAGTTCACGATAGTCAATGCAGGGTCGCAGAGATTTGTCTTTTTTCTCCACAAAGAAGAGATCCCCGCCCCGGCTGGTGAAGTAGAGGCACGGATGAAGCCCTTCTGGAGACTGTCCTCTATGTATTCCTTCAGGGCCCCCAATTCCAGTTCAGACAGGGGAAAAATCCGCCCAAAAGGGATCTCGGAGCCGGGCAACAGATCATTTGGACAGTCATACGGGCGGTGGGGGGGCAAGGTGTCTGCCCCCCGCTTACTGAATACATCTAAGAAATCATGGTATACTGCGGGGAATAACCTGTTTCAGATCGGAGTCCCCCTCGGAGTACAGGAGGACCTGGGGGCTGCTGAGCCCGCAGTGTGACAGTGTTCCTGACAATACGGGGAAGGGAACAAGATAGACCCGGTTTCCCAGTCAATTTGGGGGTTATGGGCCCGCAACCAAGGGAGTCCCAAAATGACTGGAAAAAGAGGTGACGCAATGGCATTCAGGCGGAGGAATTCCTGATGCTGGTTAGCAATGGTAGTGGCGATAGGGGGAGTTTCCTGGTTAACTACTCCTGATTTTATCTGTGAGCCATCTGCCAGAAATATGTTAAAGCCCCGTTTTCTGGGCTGGAGGGGAATCATCTGCTGATGAGCAAAATCTAAATCCAGGAAACAGCTGCATGCCCCTGAATCAACTATGGCTGTCACCTCCACGGTCCTTTCTGGAAGCTGAAAGGAGAGGGGCACCACTAAGTATTGGGACGGACTGACCTTGCCAATAGCCAGAGAAGAAAAAGAGGTGCACTTACTCATTTTCTGAGGGCAGGATCGTACCATATGATCGGCTTCACCGCAGTAGAAGCAGAGGTTCAGAGAGCGTCTCCGCTGGCGTTCTTCTGGCGACAATTTAGGCCGAGCCAGGCCTAGTTGCATTGGTTCCTGCGCATCTCCTGGAAGTGGGTTCTGGATATTTGTTCTGGTTCGTTGGCTGGGGCCTGGAATTGGACCCCATGCATTTCCGTGACCCTGACCGGACCTCTCAAACCTGCGTTCCCGCAGTCTACGGTTATTTGAATCGCCAGGGCTATTACGTCTTCTAGTGACTCGGGAACCCCCACTCGGGCCAGCTCATCCTTCAAGGGCTCTGACAGACCCATACGGAACTGGTGTCGCAACGCGAACTCGTTCCAGCATGTGTCCCCCATCCAACACCTAAATTCAGAGGCGTATTCTTCTGCCGCCCGGCGGCCCTATCGAAGCGTGTATAACGTTGCTTCAGCAGAGGCTGCCACTGTGGATCATCATAAAGGATGGCCATAGCTTCAAAAAAATCGCTGACCGTTCCCAGGTGAGGGTCATGGTTTGCCCTTAACCGATGGGCCCAATCTTGGGGTTCACCCTGCAATAGTGAAATTAAAAATCCCACTTTCACTGACTCCATTAGGAAGGTGCGGGGTTGCAATTCAAAAAACAGGAGGCAGGAATCCCGAAAAGACCTGAAGCGTGTGCGGTCCCCGTGAAAACGCTCAGGTAATGGTACTCGGGATTCAACCATAGGTAGAGGAGCAGAGGCCCCTGAAGCTGGCCCAAGAGCTTCTCCCACCGGGGGAGCGGAAACAGGGGCCTGTGGGGCAGGGTCAGATACAGAGCGGGTCTGGAAACGGTTTTCCCAGGTGCATGCACTTGTCCTGCAAGGCAGCCACAGCCTGTGTCAGGGCTGATAGGTGCCTGCAAATATCTTCCAGCGGGGCTGACCCTCCTCCAGGCTCAGTCATGGCCTTCTTGTACTGTAAGGGACCACCAGGCGGTACCACTAGCACTCCACTGGCCAGATGTCCCCAGCGCACGGTATCTAAGCCCCAGGGTACGTGTTCACCAGAGCCCCTGATGGTGGGGATGGACTTGAAGTACCCCGAGACCAGGTCGTGGCTACTGAGCACGCCTGTCAGTGGTGGCGGTATTCGCCAGGGGCTCCCGCAGGGAAGAGCCTGATGTGAGGAGGTTGGGTGATCCCGTCGGAATGGATGGATGGCTGAGCAAGTGCAGGGTCAAACGGGCCGGGTCGGTAACAGTGGGGACGGAGCAGTACAAGGCAGCAGGCAGAGAGTAGTCGGGTCACACGCCAGGTCAGCAACCGAAGGTCAGATCCAAACAGGGGCATTCAGGAGAGAGGTCAGGCAAAGCAAGGGTCTGGGCAGGAGAAGGCAACAAGGTCAGGTACAATCCGGGTCAGTAACTTACTTAGAACAGGTTCGCAGATACAGGATACAAGGAAAGACCAGAAGGCACTGAATGACAGCTCAGGGCCATTTAAATATCCCGCCCTGCGCTGCCATTGGTGCCACGCGCGCGCCCGCGGTCCCTACTGCGCACGCGCGAACTCCCTCGCCGCGGACGGCCAGGTCCCAGCACCCGCATTCTGACACAGGGCGGCGCACTGCGCCTGCGTCGAGCCCATCGCGGCGGGGATCCCTGACAACGCCACAACTGGACTCTAGAGCAGTGGAGATGTGTTCTCTGGAGTGACAAATCACGCTTCTCTGTTTGGCAATCCGATGGACATGAATGGGTTTGGTGGTTGCCAGGAAAACGGTACTTGCCTGACTACATTGTGCCAAGTGTAAAGTTTGATGAAGGGGGGATTATGGTGTGGGGTTATTTTTCAGGGGTTGGACTTGGCCTCTTAGTTCCAGTGAAGGGAACTCTTAAGGCATCAGCATACCAAGACATTTTGGACAATTTCCTGCCCCCAACTTTGTGGGATTAGTTTGGGGATGGCCCCTTCCTGTTCCAACATGACTGTACACCAGTGCACAAAGCAAGGTCCATAAAGACATGGATGAGTGAGTTTGGGGTGGAGGAACTTGACGGGCCTGCACAACCCGACCTGACCTCAACCCGATAAAACACCTTTGGGATTAATTAGAGCTGAGAATGTGAGCCAGGCCAGAGCTCCATGTTACTCTGGCGGCGTGACGTCACGGCGTGGTGTGGCTCCTCCTACCACTCCGTGACGTCACGCCGCCAGAGCAACGTGGAGCTCTGGCGGCCATCTTAACACTCCAGACGGTTAGTTGTATACTGATAACTGTCTGCAACCTTTTTTTGTACCTGATGCATCTTTAATAAATTTCTTTACAAACTACTACACTATGGGAGTATCTTTGTTACCACGTGGGGGAGCACTTTAATCCACAGACACACTCCTGGATGTACCTAAGGTACCCCAGCCCAACCAGAGGGATACCACTCACCAAAAGCTAGCAGGAGGACCCCCAGTGGAAGAGGACCACCAGCCTCATACACAGCAGAGGGAGGACCAGCCATCACCAGATGACATCTGGATTATTTTTACACAAAAGCGCATATATTATGCGCGTCCGGTGAGTGCGCATTGCTTTACCATTTATTCACACGGATACCAGGATCTTTAAAGGCACCGGAGCACTTATACTCTTATATTGAATTACAGGACTGTTTATTTATTTTATTGATTTAATATTTGCTATTTTAGTTTACCTATAAGCGCTGCACTATTTTGTATACATTATTATTCTTTAGGGGTTATTGGTACCTTGTCTGTGCATAGCAGCTTATCAACCTATTACTAAGGCGCTTTTTTTTACCTATTTTAATATTTTAAAATAACTAGGTTTTGCCCATGTACAACAATATTTAGACCAGATATTTTATGTTAAATCTCAGCCAGAGATACATGATTTTATCTAAAGGTAGGAACGCTACATGCCAATAAATTCTTTGTTCTGCTTCACTGTAGAGTGCTGCTGATTATAATGACATAAACATTTGTCATACTAATAAAGCAAGTTTGCTGATGCACTCACCCTTCAGGTCCAACCAGGTTCGATCAAAATGAAGGACTTCTTGATTTAGGAGAACCTCCAGACTTTTGGAGTCTGCTGCTAGACGTACCTCTACCACATCTGAATTTTCCTCTTGCATAGCCACAGAAGAAAAACCAGTTACAGAAGTAAAAGAACCTGCAGAATAATAGGAAATATAATTAGCAGGAAGAACAGTGTCCAGATGTTGACTATACAGTACTTTCACTCCTAAAAATGGTTACATTGACCTGCTGATCACAGACTTTTAGCATGTAGCATCCTAAAGTCAGAAATCTAATTAGACAATTTTTTTTTTATAACTTTCTTAAGTAGGGCCAGGGACTATAATTTTTCATGCTAGGGGTAAATCGTTCTAAATACTAGAAAATACAAGAGAAATTAATAGCAGTATTATAGTACAGAAGCTTCGGTTAGTTCCTCAGGTAGTAGGGTTAGTCCAGTTTTGGGCATAACTTAAAGTGTTAGTAAACCCAGGACCCTGCATTCACTATATCAGGTCTCCCACAGTACACAGAACATGGAAATGCAATTATTTTAGTAAATGTAAACTGCTAAATACCTTTTCTCATCAGAAGTACAGTATATAGCAGTCTTGTGACTTCTATCAGTATCCAGCAGAGCACTGGTTACAGCTTGTAGGAGGAGTTTTCTTTCTGCTCTAGGAGGATGCAGGACCCCTGACCTCTGTCTGGACAGTGCTGTTTGGCCCTATGCTGATCACATGCACTCTCCCAAGAAAAAAAAACTTCTCTAGCAATACACACTAAACTGAGCATGTGCATGTGGCTAAGGATAAATTCTGTGTTATCAGGAGATAAGATGAGGACATTTAAGCAAGGGACAGAGAAAACAGGATCAAATATCCTTCTTACACAATGCAGAGGATTAACCCCTTAGGTTCCACAGTGAGTATAACAAGCATGCTTTACTGCATATACAGACTCATTTTACTGTTGTACACTTTAAACCTTTTGTGCTTCCATAGGCCTAAAAAGCAATATTACTGACAACAGAGTCATTTCATCAGTCAAATATTATACCACACAAACAAAAACAAACAAACAAAAAAGATCGTAGATTTGTAGATTTCCACAATCTTATGATGAGCACCACAAAGGCAGAAAGAGGTGTCTTATTACTCCAATGCCTGGACTAAGATTTTGTGGTCTAAACAACGTATGGACGTGAACTGTTTTTTCTGATGGAGTTGATTTTTGTTTACATTCCACAAGCTCTTTCATTTACATTTTTATAGTCACAAGTATCTTGAGTGCGCTAAAAACATATTTTTGGAAATTCTATACCATGTGGCAAACACTTACCATTTTCAAACTTAGCAACCTGAGTACGTCCTTGAATCTTCAGTGAATGATATGTGGAATCAACCAGTGTGTATTCACCTCTACCCTTGAAAGTGAAATTAGACCCATCAAAAGTGATAAAGTGTGGATCCCCAAATGATGATGCTGGAACACAAAGACATAACACATACAGTTACGTAAATAGATGTATTATGTACTCTTCACCTCTATATAGTGGCTCAGTATTTATAAATATTATTTTTAAACCCCCATAATTCTCTGGAATTTACACAACACATAAAATGAAAATGGGAAAAGGGAAAATGAAAATAAGAGGGGTACTGTGCAAAGAGGCTTACAATCAAAAGAGATGGGGAATGCTAGATATATTGGTCAGGAAAAAATGCAGTGATTTGAGATAGTGGTATAAAGAGGAAAATATAGCAATTTGAATGAATAGGATTTAAACATTTGAAATCTCGTTATTCCAAAGAGTAACAGAGATGTTGCAGTAGTGTATGGGATGGGTTTATGATAGATCTATAGAAGGGAATATTTATGGGTGGATTTAGACATGTAAGTTGGGAATGAGTTAGGTATTTTGAGGGTAAAGTAATAGGTTGACTCTTTCTCTTGTTGACCAGAATCTTGTAAAAGGAACTGGCAAGCAGAGTGGTGGGTAGTATTGCCTGTCCTGCTTGCCTTTTCCTGCATATCTCCTAGTGGTAACAAAAAAATAATAAATAGAAAAGACCTATTATGCACAATATGCATATGTATGCTGATTTTAATGGTTTAACCGATTCCCAACCACGCTAGACCCAAAGGATGGCTACAGCGCGGTTGTGTAATCCTGGGCGACGTCCATGGATGTCATTCCAGAACATGCCCCCCCCGCGCACCCCCAACGTCGCTCATCCAGCGCCACTGGTGAATGCTGTGTCCTACGGATGCAGCTGATCATGTGATATGGTAAATGTCCAATCAAGGCGGCCTTTTACCATGTGATCAGCTGTGTTCAATGACACAGCACATCAACGGGTAAATACAGTTGCCGGTTCTCGGCTGCACTTTCCTCACACTGTCACAGGATGAGGAAAGTACTGCCGAGAACCAGCAATTGTCAGCGAAGCGATCGGCACTGCTCATCAGGGCACTGATGATCAGTGCCCTGATGATCAGTGCCACCCACCTGTGCCCTGCAGTGGCACCCACCTGTGCCCAGCAGTGCCACCCACCTGTGCCCAGCAGTGCCACCCACCTGTGCCCAGCAGTACCACCCACCTGTGTCCTTCAGTGCAGCCCGTCAGTGCTGCCCATCAGTGTTGCCCGTCAGTACCCAGCAGTGCCACTCATCAGTGCTGCCCATCAGTGCCCAGCAGTACCACCCATCAGTGCAGCATCATTAGTGCTGCCCATCAGTGCCACCTATCAGTGCAGCATCATCAGTGCCACTTATCAATGCCTATCAGTGCCTCCTATCAGTGCCCATCAGTGCTGCCTATCGGTGCCACCTCATCAGTGCCCATCAGTGCTGCCTATCAGTGCCACCTCATTAGTGCCCATCAATGCTGCCTATCAGTGCCCATCAGTGCAGCCTCGTCAACGCACATCAGTGATGGAGGAAAATTACCTGTTTTAATAGAAACAAAGAAAAACTTTTTTTTCAAATTTTTTGCTCTTTTTTTGTTTATAGCACAAAAAGTAAAACACCCGGTGGCAAGTAAATACCACCAAAAGAAAGATCTATTTGTGTAAAAAAAATTATAAAAATGTCTTATGGGTACAGTGTTGCATGATCACACAATTGCCATTCAAAGTGCGACAGTGCTGAAAGCTGAAAATTCGCCTGGGCAGGAAGGGCGTAAAAGTGCAAGTGGTTAAATATTTACAAAAATACCTTGCAGAGGCGAGTGTTGGTTTTATTTATTAAATACTCTTTTTCTTTCTAAAAAGATGTATTGTTTATATACTGTATAGAGAATACAGTTTCCCACTTTTACAGTGCATTTCTCCTTGGAAAAATATGCAAAAAAGTTGCATTTAAAATGTGTTGCATGTTAACCAGGATTTACCCCCCTTAATGACCAGGCCTGTTTTTGCTACTAGGTGCTGCACTAATTCAACTGATAATTGCGCGGTCATGCAATGCTGCACCCAAACGAAATTTATGTCCTTTTTTTCACACAAATAGAGCTTTCTTTCGGTGGTATTTGATCATCTGTGTGCTTTTTATTTTTCACGCTATAAACAAAAAAAGGCCAAAAATTTTGAAGAAAAACAATATTTTTTACTTTCAGCTATAAAAAATATATAGTAAACTCAAAGTTGGTTATAAATTTAGGCCAAAATGTATTCTGCTACATGTTTTTGGTAAAAAAAAATCCCAATTAGTGTATATTGATTGCTTTGTGTGGAAGTTATAGCGTCTACAAACTATGGTATAAATAGTGCAACTTACACCATTTTTCTGCTATACAGCGCTGCGCTAGTTTAATGGACAATTGCGCTGTCATGCAATACGGTACATAAATGAAATTTACATACTTTTTTCCCCCACAAATTGAGCTTTCTTTTGCTGGTATTTGATCGCCTGTGCGGTTTTTATTTTTTGCTCTATAAAAAAAAAGGCTGACAATTTTGAGGAAAAAAAAAACAATATTTTGGACTTTTTGCTATAAAAACATGTTCAGTAAAAAAAAATGCAAAAATCAAATTTCTGCCAAAATGCATTCTGCGACGTCTTTGCTAAAAAAAAAATATGTGTAAATTAATTGGTTTACGTGAAAGTTATAGCGTTTACAAATGGCGGGAAAGATACTGGGATTTTTAGAGTTTTTTTTATACTAATAATGGCGGCGATCAGTGAAGTATGGCGGTGATCAGTGACTTATGACAGCGACCAGCGACTTATGGCGGGACTGCGGCAGACATTCTGACATTGGGGGGTACTGACTTGGGGTCACTGACATCCCCAAAAACACTAATACAGGGATCAGTGCAAAAAGAAAAATACTGACACTGTACTAATGGCACTGGGGAGGAAGGCGTTAACTTTATTTTGCAGGGAAGGGTTATCTGAGTGAGGGGGCGTGTTTTACTAGGGGGCGGGGGTGTGTGCTGCACGGGACACCACTGATCTAGAGAAAGAAACTCTTCTGTCTTGATCAGCTCATCTTTGAGCTGTCAGGGAAGTGACAGACAGCACAGCTACTGCAGCTGTGCTCTCTGTCACTGTTTACCGCCGATCGCCGGGAAACAGCCGCTAAGAACCGGCTGTGACCCGGCGACTGACATCCGCGGCGGTGATCAGCGTGACAGATAGGGCGGCGGCGTGCCTCGCACGCACCCCCTATTTGTTTACAAAACACACGTTTTAAAATGTGGTTTTGCCTGCCAGTGCCGCCCTGCCGCCGTATTTCTACAGTGGCTGGGCAGCAAGTGGTTAAAATGTGCATTTTAGGACTGAAAGCTTCAACATGCATTGGGGTTGATTTACTAAAACTGGAGAGTGTATTATCTGGTGCAGCTCTGCATAGAAACCAATCTGCTGCCAGTTTTTTTTTTGTCAAAGCTTAATTGAACACGCTGAAGTTAGAAGCTGATTGGCTACCATGCACAACTGCTCCAGATTTTGCACTCTCCAGTTTTAGTAAGTCAACCCCATTATGTAACAAAATTTGTTAAAATAAATATATAAACACAATAATGGCGCTCACCAAAAAACAACTGAAATTAAATGATAATAATAATAATCCAACCACCAAATAAAATAAATTATGTGTGGAGAAACAAATAATAGATCCTCAATAAAGTCCATTAACTAAAGTCC